GAATAGAATAGAATAGAATAGAATAGAATAGAATAGAATAGAATAGAATAGAATAGAATATTGGAATGAAGAATAGAACAGAACGGAACAGAATAGCAGAGTTGGAAGGGACCTTGAGGTCTTCTAGCCCAACTGCCTGCTCTGGCAGGAAAGATAGATAGGTAGATGATAAATAGAAAGAATAGAGATGGAAAGATAGATACTGATGGAGAGATAGCTAATTATATAGCTAGCTAGCTGACTAGCTAATAGATAGCTAGATAGCTTATAGATATACAGACAGACATAGATAGCAATAGCACTTATATACCACTTTACAGTGCTTTTATAGCCCACTCTAAGCGGTTTACAGAGTCAGCCTCTCGCCACCAACAATCTGGGTCCTTGTTTTACCCACCTCGGAAGGATGGTAAACCTTGAACCGATCAGAATTGAACTGTTGGTGGTTGGCAGAGTCAGCCTGCAATCCTGCATTGTAACCATGGTGCCACCACACCCCTTTATGTACAGGGAATCCTCAATGGACGTCCACAGCGGAGGCCAAAATTTCTGTTGCTGAGCGAGGCCGCTTGTCAGTGTTCCAGAAAAACTTCACTGCAACCAATAACTCTGAGACAACCATCGTCTCAAAGTTTCCTTTTATCAGAGTAGTAAACTGGCACATCTGGGAAATCTTGAATTTGAAAGTTCCAGGTTTCCCTCCAATAAGTAAAAAAAAGTACAAATCTACCCCCTGCGCCTCTCATTGCACCACATGCCCCAATCCCCATCCGGCCCAACTTGAGACGTCCTCTCACTCAGGTGCAGAAACAACGTGACCTTGACTTAGAAAAAGAATGCTATTGTGTCTAACCCCATACACTCCAAGAATTTCCCTCCTCCCATTTTCCCAGGCTCAAGAACATGGCAGAAAGAAACATCCCTTGTGTCATTTTCTTTGTTAGATATTGAGCACAAAACGTATTTAAGGGATCCTGTATAGAAATCTTTAGTTTATTCATAGAAATCTTTAATTTATTCCAAAGCTCTGACTGGGTTTTTAAATCATCCTCTTTATTGAAGAATACCATAATTTAGGTCACTTTAATTCAAGTACAATATGCACTTTGCCATAACACAGATTTATTCAGTATAAAGATTAGGGCGCTGGTGCTTCAACTCTTGATTAGCAGCTCATTTGGATTATTCTGAATTAATCTTCCACGCTGAACAGTCAGTTCAGTCAACGGAAATCTTTTTTTCTTAGGAGCTGGAAAGCATGGTGGAGGTGAAAATTTGCTGCAAAATTTGTGGGATTTCCTTGGTATCCATGGCGATAAAAGAACGGCCAGCCGGTAATGTCCTTTGCAATCTAAAGATCAGAAGAGGAAATAAAATAAAATTTACTGCTGTGGATTTTCATCGCGTTCAATCTAACGAAGACTTTTTCACTAAAAATCCATCACTCAAGAAAAAAAATCTTAAAATAAAATAAAATGATGAGGACGAGGAAGAGCCTTCGGTGCAGATCCAAAACAACTGGAGCACCACTTAAACACCATCAGTGGCATTGACAAATTTGCTACCAGTCAATTGCAGAAGGCAGCTTTATTTAGCATAGCTTCCATCCTGCGGCGATATCCGTAACACCATCAAACATCCAGATTTGCCTGTCCCAGGTCCTTGGGAAGGACTCGATAGGTAGCCAAACCCAGTCTGAACATCTGACCGTGCCATGAATAATAATAATAACAACAACAATCTTTTTAAATGTTCAGTTGACTGAGTTTCATGTTTAATGAATAAAAGAGATAATAATAGCAACAATAATAGCAACAATAATAAAAAAAACAACTTCTGAATCATAAAATGAAGAGGCTGAATTGAGAACAGGCCTTAGGGGAAACATATTTTCTAGAGATTTGTATCCGTATCGCAAGACGCATGAGTAGCACTGAAACCACAATTCCACAACCCTTTTCTTTAATGCATACGCATCTGTTAAGAAATGGAGCATCTTACGTGTTGTGCGATGAGCTTAAGAACCAAAGGATGAGAAAAAGATTTTTAAGGATCTTTATGCTGGTTTGCAAAATGACATCTGACTCAGCTTTTCTTGGGCGTGGGAGCGGTTTCTTTGGAAGGTAGAAAAGATGTTCGAATTATTTCACTTTATTTACTCTAACCGCTCCTGAGCTGAGCAGACCACTGTGGGTTCGCAAATTTGAGCTTGGCTCAGGGTAGTGAATCATTATTTGAAACCGAACCTGACTCTACCTTACGTCATCTGGATTTTCTTATGACTCATGCCCAAAGAAGCAATTTTGTCTTTGAAGCTAGTGCTAATTTATTTATTTTTGCTGTGATCAGCATCCTTGTTATAAACGAGCATGGAAAAATGCTTCTCCTGTCCTACTTAGAATCATAGGGTTGGAGGAGACTTTGGAGGTCTTATAGTCCAACCCCCTGCTCAAGCAGGTCTCCCTGTGCCAGTGGTGGCTAACCTTTTTGGACTCCCGCGCCAGCACCCATAAGGCAATGCGCGCAGGGCTCCCCCATGCCCCCTGTGCATGCGTGTGCGATCCCGCCATCGCCCCCTTATCTACACTGTGCTTCCCAGCTGATTTTCGGCCCATTTGAGGCCTTTTTCGACCTCCAAGAAGCTTGAGGGAAGCTTCTGCAGCCTTTGCAGGCCGAAAAATGGCCCGTTTCATCACTTCTGGTATTTCCAGAAATACCAGAAATGACGAAACCGGCCTATTTTTCCGGCCCCCAAAGGCTGCAGATGTTTTCCTCAAGCCTCTGGGAGGCCGAAAATCAGCTGCCAGGTGCGCACATGTGCAGTGAGGTAAGTTCGCCTGGCGCTCGCGTTGGCGCTCGCGTGCCCGCACAAATGGGTCTGCGTGCCACCTGTGGCAGTCGTGCCATAGATTCGTCATCACGGCCCTATGCCATTTCAGACAAATGGTTGTCTAATCTCTTCTTGAAAACCTCACAACTTCTGAAGGCAAACTATTCAGAATAACAGAAGGAATCTTGGAGGTCTTCTAGTCCAGCCCCCTACTCAAGCAGGAAAACCTATACCATTCCAGACAATTGGCTGTCCCGTCTGTTCTTAAGAGCCTCCAGTGATGAAGCAACTCCTAACTTCTGAAGGCAAACTATTCAGAATAACAAGAGTTGGGGCCTTGGAGGTCTTCTAGTCCAACCCTCTCTTCAAGCCGGAGAACCTATCCCATTCACAGGCACAGGGGCTGTCCAGTCTTTTAAAAGCCTGCAGTGATGAAGCACCCACAACTTCTGTAGGCAAACTATTCAGAATAACAGAAAGGACCTTAGAGGTCTTCTAGTCCAACTCCTGCTCAAGCAGGAGGCTCCATGCCATTTCAGACAAGTGGCTCTTCTTAAAAGCCTCCAGTGATGGAAGACCCACAATTTCTGCAGGCAAAACTTTTCCACTGGTTAATTGTCCTCACTGTTAGGAAGTTACTCCTTAATTCCAGGTTGCTTCTCTCCTCGATGAGTTTCCACCCATTGCTTCTTGTCCTGCTTTGGAGAATAGCTTGACTCCCTCTTCTTTGGGGCAGCCCCTGAGATATTGAAACACTGTTATCATGTCCCCCCACCAAGTCCTTCTTTTCTCTAGACTAGCCAAACCCAAATCCTGCAACCGTTCTTCGTATATTTTAGTCATTTTAATCCTCTTAGTTACTCGAAAGCTGCTATCGTTATCACCACTTATCCTTCTCTTCGTTCGTCTAGAAACACCTAGTTCCTCATTTAACACCTGCACACCTGGGAGAGGAACAAGACACTGGCATCTCCCCAGCTCATCCTATTCTACGTAGATATTGGCTCTCAGGAATGGTGTCAAGCCCGATATTGACATATGCGTAGCCATTTTATTTAGCCTTAGTATATATTCCTTTTCTTTCTCTTTGCTGGGTATGGGGGGGCCGGGGGGGTTTGCCACATTCCTAAGGTGGGAGGAGTGGAGATAGAGAGAGTTGTTTAGGCTAAGTGGTTCTCCTTCCCGTGGGAACGAAAGCTGACCCTGCTGAGACTTGGAGGTGGAGATTAATGACACCAGGCCACGTTGATTTACTTCTATTGGGGAATGTGCCTTTTGGGTTCTGTTTCTAATTTCCAATATAATGTGGTGTAATTCCGGGTCGTGTCAGATCCAGAATTACCACAGACTTTGCCAATCCTTTCCTAAATAAAGGAATTTGTTTTGGAAGACGGACTTTTTGGTCTTTTCTTTTTAAACGGGTTTCATCACCTGGAAACCTGACGAATGGGATTTGTGTAGATTTGTCTAAAAATCCCACCAGCTACCCGTCGATTCCTCGCCAGCTTCGGGCAGGGTGTCTCTCCAGCTTACCTGTCCGCTTGATCCCCCAAGGAGCCAATGAATATGGCGAAAGCGTTGACTTTGGGGTCGATCGTCAAGGCCTGCGCGAACCTTGCGGGCGGAATGCCGTACCGCTCCAGGTTGGCGTCGCTTAAGACGATGACGAAATATTCATCAGCGTCGTCTTTGGCGATCTCCCGAACGGCGTGCTCGGTTCCTTCCAGGGTGTGATCTCCGCTCATGCAGAACTGAGCGTGGGCGTGCATGACCTGGTGGGACAGTAAATCAGGACACCTCACAAAAAAAGATCATAATAATCCTGGGTTGTATAAACAGAAGCATAGAATCGAGATCAGGTGAAGTATCCGTCCTGCTTTATAAGGACTGATGACAGCACCTGGAATACTACAAGCAATTTTGGTCACCGTTCTACAAAAGAGATGTTGAGACTTTGGGGAAAAAAATCAGAGGAAAGCAACGAGGATGATTAAAGGCCTGGAGGATAAAAGACATGAAGAAGGGTCGCAGGATTTGGGTTTGGTTAGTCTAGAGAAAAGAAGAATTAAGGGTGACACGACTGGTTCTGCATCCCAACAGGACGGACACGGACTTCAGAGGGTAATTAGGACTGCAGAAAAAGCACAGTGGCTACCAACCTGCCTTCCATGGAGGACCTGCATGCTGCACGAGTCAAAAAGAGGGCTGTGAAAATATCTACAGACCCCTCACATCCTGGACACAAACTGTTTCAACCCCTTCCCTCAAAACGACGCTGTAGAGCCCTGCACACCAGAACAACTAGACACAAGGACAGTTTTCCCCTGAATGCCATCCCTCTGCTAAACAACTGACTCTCACAACACTGTCGAACTATTTACAAAGTCTGCACTACTATTACTATTAATCTTCTCATCGCTCCTTATCACCCATCCCCTTCCACTTGGGACTGTATAATGGTAATTTTGTTGGTTGTATCCTTACGATTTAAATTGACTGTTTCCTAGTATGACTTGATTGCTTATTTGTACCCTGTGACTATTATTAAGTGTTGTACCTGATGATTCTTGACTCTTGACAAATGTATCTTCTCTTTTTATGTACTCTGAGAGTATTTCACCAATACAAATTCCTTGTGTGTCCAATCACACTTGGCCAATAAAGCTATTCTATTCTATTCTATTCTATTCTATTCTATTCTATTCTATTCTATTCTATTCTTCTAGTCTATTCTTATTCTATTCCATTCTTCCATTCCATTCCATAATTTTTATTCTATTCTATTCTATTCTATTCTATTCTATTCTATTCTATTCTATTCTATTATTTTATTCTAGTCTATTCTTATTCTATTCCATTCTTCCATTCCATTCCATAATTTCTATTCTATTCTATTCTATTCTATTCTATTCTATTCTATTCTATTCTATT